TCTTAGGAATTCCTGCCCTCTGGAAAGGACCCTGTGGCTCAGGAATTTCCCGCCTGGGCACCAGCTTCCTTTTTGCTTCTTAATAGAGCCTCTGCTCCTCCCTCCCTTTTGTTTGCCACCCCTCCCCCTCCCCACTGGTTCCCTGCTCCCCCTGGGAACTGGGCACATATCTCTGCAGGCTGGGAGGCCTGGCCAAGTGGGCAAGGCAGGGGGGAGATGGGGGTGCCCTTTGGAACTGAGAACTTCCTCTTCCTCCTTAGGAATGGTGGCGAAGGGTCAGTTTTGGGCTTGGACATCGATCCTGTCCCTCGGGGGGTGGGGGGTGGGAAGGGGGGGCTGCAGTAAGAAGGGCTCCACCCCTTCTCTCCCTGTAGCCGCAGGGGTGACATTTTTCAGATCTGAACCAAATGGTCACAGTGCCCCTTGACAGGGAGGGTCATTCCAGCTGCTCCCAGTGCATAGATGGGGAGACTAAAGGCCAGAACCCCTCTCCCCGCAAGTTCATCCAGCCAGACAGGGTGACAAGGGCAAGAAGCAAGGGGTCCTGGCCCAGTGCCTCCGTGGCTGCCTGCTGTGGCCTCATTGCACAATCCCCATGCCTTCCCACCAGGCTTCTTCTTCTAACCCCAAACAGATTGGGAAATCGCTGGAGAATCCAAAGTGCTCTGGGTAATGGGGGGAGGGGACAGTGTCAGGCTCAAAGACCCCACCATCCCCTCAGAGCTCCAGACCCTGGTCTTCAGGGACAGGAAGGATGCTTCACCGGGCAGATGCTGGGCAGCCACCCTCGTCCCCAGCTGCCATGACACCTGCGCTCCCTCTCCATGGCCTCACTGAGCTCCAGGCTGCGGCTAGGGGGTAGGAAAAGCTGCCCACCCCTCCTGTGGCTGCACCAGGCACTTCTTTCCCTGAGTTCAGGCATGAGGGTCAAGCATCACATACGTGAAACCCCCAACTCAAGGGAAATCCTTTGAAAATAGGGCTGCATAAAGGGCCAAGGGGTGTGACTGCCAGTGGGGCCCATAGGGCAGGAGCTATTCTAACCCCCTCTTGACAGATGAGGAGACTGTCCCCAGGAGACCACACTTCCAGAAGGAGCCAAAGGCCAGCCAAGAATTGCACCCTCAGCAGGAAATGAGCATTAGATGCTTGTTGAGAGTGTCCCTGGCCAGCTGCTCTCCCATCCCCCACCTCCCCAGGCGATGGGTGGGGGGGCTGCGGGCCAGTTCCACCTGGCAGGGAGGGCAGCACGCAGGAGCGGACTGGCAGTAGATCCTTCAGGCCAGCCCAGAAGTCAAGTGTGCCAGCACCTGTCCAGGAGCTGTAGTCAGCTCCTTGCATGCAACTCAGGGCTTGGGAGGCCCAGGACACGTGCCTTCCCTCCTCTTGGAAATGACAGATGACTTTTTTTTTAATTGTGGTAAAATACACATAACCAAATGTACCATTTTGACCATTTAAAATACATAGTTCAGTGGCATGATGTCATACATTGTTATGCAACCGTCACCACCATCCACCTTCAGAATTTTTTCACTTTGCAAAACTGAAGCTCCGTACTCATTAAACACTAACTCCCCCTCGTCACCTTCCCACTAGCCTGGCACCCACCATTCTACTTTCCATCTCTATAAACTTGACTATTCTAAGTAGATCATATAAGTGGAATCAAAAGGATGGTAACTGTCCTTTGGTAACCGGCTTATGTAACTTCACATAATGTCATCAAGGTTCATCCATGTTGTGGTGTGTGTCAGAATGTCCTTCCTTCTTAAGCTTGAATAATGTTTCATTGTTTATCTTTTCATCTGTCCATGGACGCTTGGGTTGCTGCTGCCTATTGGCTGTCGTGAGTAATGCTGCTCTGAGCACGGGTCGACAGCTGACATTTGTCAACAGGTGCCAAGCTCTGTTCTAAGTGCTTTGCATGCACTAACTGATTTCATCAATCTTATGAAATGGGTACTCCTTAATTATCCCCTTTTCACAGATGAGGAAATCGAGGCACAGATAGTTCCAGTCGCGTGGTGGTCAGCAGTGGAGCTGGAAGCCACACAGTAAGCGTTGTGCTGTATTACTTATCCCCTAATGTTGATCAACTGAAATACAGCTTGATGCATTTAAGTCAGACACAAGGAAGGACTGACTGCTGGGCTAGGAAGCTTCGATGCACAAATGGGAGCTTTTACTGCCCTCTACTCCTTTTTCATCTTTGGAAAAAAAAAAAAAAGATTTCCCAATCTCTTTCACGACCTTGTCCAGTCAATTAACTGAGTCTTCACCCTCACCCTGTGGGGCAGCAGGAGGGGCTGACCCAGTCCCAGCAGCCCAACCAGAGAATAATGCAGGCGGTGTGTGTTTAATGTTCTCCCTCCTTTCCCCCTCCCGAAGCTCCCTGGAAGAAGGGTGGGAGGCAGAGGGAGCCCGTTCTGGCACAGGGCTCAGCAGGTGCAAAAGCTGGCGGGGGGATGGGACTGGAGCCAGAGGGCACCAGGAGGACCTGGCTGGCAGGGCGGTGCTGACCGCCGGTGGACTCCTCCTCACGGCCCTGCCAACTTCCCTCTGTGAGATGACTTGCACTTCCCACTGCCCCAGCCCTGGCTCTCACGGCGCTGCTTCTCCCTTCACTTCTCAGGCGGTCACCTGACCTGGGACCCTTCCTGGAGCCTCTTGTTTCCTGGGGATGTCCCACTCACTAAGAGCGCTGGGCAGAGCCATTGGATCCTCTGTTGACAGGTGAGGAAACTGAGTCCTGGAGGGGTAAGTGAATGCAAAAGCTGAGGCCTTCAGGCTGGCATCTCTGCTGCCACCCAGTCTTCCCCAAAGGGGAAGTCACTTGCTCAGGGTCATTGGCAGCTGCACCTGACCTCGGCCAGAGTCTCCTGACCCCGCTGAGGACCATGGAATGGCCAGGACAGCTGACCAGGCACCACCCTCCCAGGCCAGCCCCTCCCAGGGGGGCACCCATCAGAGCAGGCGTACCCCGACAGGCAGTGCCCCCCAACCCCCAGGCAGCCATCTACTTGATAACAGCCCCTCCCTTCCTCCCAGGAGGAAGTTAGACCTCACACTCCTTTCTGTGTTTGGCAGATGGGGAAAATGAGGCCTGAGGAGGAAAGGCTTCCTCTGGTGCTCGATGAGCCTGGCCCACTTCCCGTGCTGGAGGTGGGACCACTCGGGAGAAAGCAGGGCCCACTGGGCAGCAGGACCCTAACCCCAGTGGCCTTCTAAGGAGTGTAATGCAGGAGGGCCCCCTGGAGGGATGCCCTTCCAGGGCATCAGGGAATTTCCGTGCCAGCCCCAGTGACCTGGCCTGTTTCCTAAGTGGGCCTGGCTTTTCACAATGGCTTTCAGTGGTGATGCAAGATGGCCAACTTCACCTCCTAGCCCTTCAGACCCGGGGCTGCCCTGGTCCAGCAGCCTGCGGGCCCTTCTCCTAGACGGCATCATTTCCAGGAAAACAGCCTTACTCCTCATAAAGTCCCACCCAGTGACAGAGGCAGGTCACGTGGCAGGAGCTCTGCTGGGAATCCCAGTGCTGTGTAGAGCCCGCCAAGGCTGAAGGGGAGCAGGGGAGCCTGCCCCAAACCGCCACAGGGCCCACCAGTTCCTCAAATCCGGGTGTTGGAATGCCTCCTCATCCGATACCAGGGAGCTCTGCCCTCCTGGACTTTGGAGAAGGAAGGCATGATGGTGGGGCTCGGGCATGGGACCACTTGGACCCTGGGGCACTCCACCACTTACATCTGTGTTTTTTTGTTTTTGTTTTTTGGCCACGCCTCGGCTTGTGGGATCTTAGTTCCCCAACCAAGGATGGAACCCCGGCCCTTGGCAGTGAAACCACTGGACCACCAGGGAATTCCCACATCTGTGTTTTTAGGCACATTGCTTCACCCTTTGGGACCTCCCAATCCCTTCTGGAAATGGAGCAGACACTTGCTCAGGGGGTTGCCAGGGAAGGCTCCAAGGAGAGAGTGCATATAAATAACAGGAACTGCTACTCGGAGGGAGTGCAAACCCCAGGCCAGGCCCTTATCCAGCACATCAGCATTTTCTCCTGTAATGCTCCCAATTTTACACCAGGAGATAGAGCCCAGAGAGGTAGAGTAACTGCCCAAAGTCACACAGCTAGGAAGGTGCAGAGCTGGGACCCCGGCCCAGAGAGGTCTGAATCCAGAGGCTAATTCTTTTTCTTTTAATTGAAGTATAGTTGATTTACAATATTATATTAGTTTTAGGTTACAATGTGGTGATTCGATATTTTTCCAGATTATACTCCATTTAAAGTTATTATAAAATAAGAGGTTAATTCTTAACCCCCGCGCCGAATCCTTAGGAAGGAGGAAGGTCATGAATCACAGTGCAGAGCCAGCACACAGCGCACCCCAGAAACAGCGGGACTTTGCACAGCATTCCTCCTTCCCGCATGCTAAGAGTCCAATATTTGGGGATCCTATCAACCTAAGAGCGTTAGGTTCTCTACCGTCTGCTTTCACAGGGCTCAGGAAAGACTGCCGTCCCCCCAACACAACTCCCTCCAGCAAAAGCAGGTGCTTCACCAATGCCTGAAATGTCACTATCCCATGGATGTTCCGTGTATACAGCCCACTATCCGTGTATATATCCATGTGTATAGCCATGTATATTGCTTCTTACAAACTCAAGGGTCCTATAAGGAGCCCTCATTGTTTCTGGGGAAGGACACAGGGAGATGGGAATAAGGAGACGTTCACTGTATATCCTTTTTGTACCTTTTTAATTTTGAGCTATGTGAATGTATCACTAAAACATTAAGGTTAAAAATGAAAACATTTGGGCTTCCCTGGTGGCGCAGTGGTTGAAGGTCCGCCTGCCGATGCAGGGGACACGGGTTCGTGCGCCGGTCCGGGGAGATTCCACATGCCGCGGAGCGGCTGGGCCCGTGAGCCATGGCTGCTGAGCCTGCGCGTCCGGAGCCTGTGCTCCGCAACGGGAGAGGCCACAGCAGTGAGAGGCCCACATACTGCAAAAAAAAAAAAGAAAGAAAACATTTAACAAATGCATTTTATTATTTTTATTTTTTTAAACATTCATTTATTTATTAAACATTCGGCTGCACCGGGTCGGGCCTTAGCTGTGGCACATGGGATCTTTAGTTGCGGCATGTGGACTCTTAGTTGCAGCCTGCCTGTGGGGTCTAGTTCCCTGACCAGGGATCGAACCCGGGCACCCTGCATTGGGAGTGCGGAGTCAGCCACTGGACCACCAGGGAAGTCCCAACAAATGCATTTTAAAAGCCGCTAATGAGCGGGTGGGTGTATGTGCACCCAGAGGATGGGAATCCCTGGAAGGATGAAGGGTTTTGTAATGACCCCATGGGTCCCAGGAGAGGAGTGGACCCAGAGGTGGGTGTGACCTGTCGAAGTATCAGTCCGCTGCAAGCATTTCACTAGAGCAGGGGCCCAGGGAGGCTGCCCTGAGTCCCTAGAGGCACTCAGCCACGGGGGTGTGACGGCTCCCAGCAACTCCGCCAAAAAGGGCCCTGCGCTGTCACCCAGCGGGCCTGATTCCCCCAGACCTGGAGCTCTGTGGCTCAGCCCTCGTCAGCAGCCCCCTCCGATCATCTGATCGCAGTGCCTGGCACAGGCCCACTGCCCAGTGTTCTGCACCGACTGGCTGGGGAAGGACCATCCCATCTCCTCCCCCTGGGCCGAGGATGGACAGTGGGCAGACACTGACCTTGGTGGGCGGGGCCTCTGACCTGCTGGAGTTGCCTAAAGGACTCAGGGGTAGCAAAGGAAGGGAGGGGACGGAGAGTGGCCCCGGGGACCCCGCAGCTCCTCTCCCCGCCAGGGCAGTGCTGAGGGGCCCCGCCAGGACCACATCCTAGCCGCTGAGGGTGCTGCCCCTGTGTCTAGGGGCCCCATGTGGTCCAGGGCCTGGAAGGAAGGGGCCGGGGTCACCAGGCAAGGAAGGAAGAGGGAGAGGCCGTGTAGACACGGAGGTGACACGATGACTGCGCCTCGCAGCAAGCCCTTGGTGCCGGGTCTCTTTGGCCGGTGTCATCTACCCCTGAGTTCCCTCACCTACTGGGCGCTCCCTTCCACATCGCAGATAAGGAGACCAAGCCTCAGAGGGGAAAGGGCCCAGGTCACCAGCTGTGGGAGGGCAGTGCTGAGACCTGAACACGCTCAAGCATGGGCGAAGGGCCACAGAGGGCACAAGTCCAGGTGGAGCTAGGGGGGACACCCAGGTCCCTCCTGTCACCCCAGGCTGTCCTTGGGTAATCAGGCTGGGTTCATCCTGTCCTCGGACCCGAGCACCCTGCCTTGGGCAGGCGGCCCCCACACACTTTCACTGCCCTCCAGCCTCATCAAGGACCCACAGGCTCAGGGCCAGAGACCAGACGTGACCCTTAGTCCATGAAGGAGCCCCAGGAAACATGGGCACTGGGGGAAGCCAAGCTGAGCCGAAGCGGGAGGAGTAAGGGGCCGTGCGGGGGGAGGGAGTGGCCAGGCAGAGGTGCGACCAGGGGTCAGAGGTAGGGCCCAGGACCCGAGATCTAGGGGCAAACAGGATGTCCTGCTGCACAGGGGAGCACAGACACCAGGCAAGGCCCGGGCACTGACAGGGGCTGGCACATTCCAGGAGCGCACACACATATGAACACACACACATGCACACAAGCACACACATTTCCTTATCAGCCAGTCAACATGGTTCACAAGTCCGGAAGAAGCTCTGAGAGCCAGCCCCCTCCCCCCATGCTTGGCCTGGACAACAGGATGGCCACGGAAGCACTCTGGCCCTTCGCAAGGCCTCATGGGACCTGGTGGGCAGGGGGGTCCTGAGCACAGCCCCCAAGCCCGGGGCAGAACAGCCAATGGCCAGAGCCCTGGACCTGAGCCAGCCCTGGGTCCCCTGGCCTCAGCCCTCCCTCCAGTCTGCAGCCTCCCTGGCTGCACCTCCATAGAAGCTGCCGTCTGGCTTCCTGCTCACCCCAGCTTGGCCTTGGGAAGCTGACCCCAGCCCCCAGACTCTGCTGGGCTCACAGGCACATCCACAGGGCACACATACCCACCGGGCATGGAGGATCCTGCCGGGAAAGCCTTGACTTCCTGTCTCTGGGCCTGGGTCTCAGCCTAAATCCTTCCCACTGCAACATGAGGAGTCTGCTCAGACCCACACCCCTCCCCAGCCTCCTGTTGGGGGGCCTTGCCCACTCACTGACACCATCCACCTCAGGATTCACTGACAGAGTCCCCTACCCCTGCACCCAGCCTCTTCTCGGCTTTTTCTTGCAGATGGTGGCCTGGCCAGACACCTGCGAACATGGGGTCACGGTGGGGCCAGCGCCTGGCTTTACAGCAGGCTCTTAACTTCACTCTCCCTGGCCTGGGAGGCACAGACAGAACCCCTATTTCACAGCTGGAAAAACTGAGGCACAGAGAGGTGAAGAAACTTGCCTACAGTCTCCTGGCTGGAAAGTGGTAGAGCTGAATCCCCTCCCACCTCTGCAGCCTGGCTTAGAAACCCAGCCCCAGGACCCTCAGCCTGCAGCCAAGGGGCTCAGGCAAGGTCAGGCCTGCCAGGGTCAGGGCGAGGAACAGGGCCTGCAGGAGGGGGCCTCCCTGAGGGGCCTGGGGACTGGGACTCAAATGTGGGAGGGGGTGGCAGGGGCTCCCAGGGGAGAACCTGGCCAGGACCAAACCAGATCAAGGCTTCCTATACCCTCACCACCACCCCGGCCTGAGACTCTCACCCAGACCACTGCCGGCCCCTGGGCTTACATGTGGGGTCAGGCTGACCTGTCAATCACCTGCCCCTCCCTAGGAAAAGAGGTGCCCCTCCGATACCTCCCCTCTCCCTGGCTGTGAGGATCCCAGGCCACCAGTGCTGGGGCCTGTTGTGAAGCAGTGCCAACCTCCACCCTCCACTGGCCTCAGTTTCCCCACTGACACAAGGACCGCTTGTCAGCGTCAGCACTCACACACCCCGCCCCCGCACCTGTTCCCGGAGCCTGGGAGCCCCATCCTCTCTGCTTCCTCCTTCCTGCCTTGCTCACCCCACCCCCGCTGGATTCCCCACTTGGGAAGATCTGGACACTCCCTCGGCCCCCGGCCTGCCCCACCCCTGGCCAGCTGCCCCCATGGAACAGGCTGCCGCTGGCACCTGTTCCTGCTCCCCCCGGGACCCCGAAAAGGGACTGGGGAGAAAGGCACCTATCGCTGCCTCCGGCCGCATCCTGTCAGTCTCCCCATCTCAGAGCTCAGCCTTCCTGGCAAGCCCGAGGTTACAGACGCAAATGGGTTCCAGAGCAGCCTCAACTGCAGGCTGGAGCCCAATTTCAGTGCCAACTTTTTGTGAGAGGAGAATGAGGAGGGGCGTGCGCGGGGGCGCAGCGGGGTGATCTCCTTGCAGCGCCACGGCCAGAGCCAAGACCTGCAGGGGCAACCCCTCATACACACACTCCAGGTTGACACCTGCCCTGCCACAGCATACAACTCTCACTGCTGGGAAGTTCCTCTCACAACTAACCCAAATACCTCAAGCTGCAGAACAAGGCTTGGCCTTTTCTTGTCTCCCAGGGCCCAGGCCTGCTTAAAACGGGGCAGAGCAGCGCTCACCCCGCTGGGCAAAGCTCACTAGGCGCGCGGCACTGGGGGCCCGGGGTCAAAGCCTGGCTTGCTCTGCAGCCACAGGGGTGGGCCTTCCCAGTTCTAGACCTGCCTCAGTCTCCCCATTGGTACAGTGAGCAGGAAACAGCCATCACCAAATGGAGTCACCACGGAACTTCTGGCTGGACCCTGGGCGCATGGGAACCCAGACCTCCTGCCTGAAGTCAACTTGGCCTGCCCCTCCTTAGGGAGACACCATTTTCATTCATGTTTATTTTAAAAATAAATACTCTGTTCTTCACTTTCAGACTGGGGTGGCGCTGGACAGTTAGGCAGGGAGGCCTTCCTGGGTGGGCAGTACCGATGGGAACTTCTGACACGCCCGAACCCTCCCCCGCAAATGCCTGAGATGCCTCTCATGGCTGTTCATTCTGGTCACCAGCCATGTGTGGCTGAGGATGGGAATTCCACAACCATGGGCTCCTGACTTGGGGTTCAGTGCCTGGGGGAAGGTGGCCAACCCTCCACCTGGGGTCGGCCCCTCTCAGGCCCAGGAGCACTAGATGCAGGTGATTAGCACATCCATGGAGGTGGGCACCTCGATCTCCTCGAAGAGCACGTGGCCCCCAGCAGCGCCGGGGCCCCCTGCCTCGGCCACGGCCCTCAGCAGGTCCTGGGCATGCGTCAGGAGGTGCTGGTTCCGACGGTGGCCCAGTCGGCGCAGCGCTAGAATGGCCAGCACGTGGTCCCGCCTGCAGAGACACGCGGACCCTCACTGCAGACCCAGCAGCTTCAGTGACACCCCAGACCCCGAGGTGAGGAGAACCCTGGGGGCTTGGGCTGGAAGTATGAGTGCACCCAGCATTCCTGGAGCCTGGTCTCAGAGAGACTGAGAATGAACCTGGAGGAGCCGTGCTCCTGGAAGAGGTGGCTGGGCCTTGAGGGGTGCGAAGCCACGTAGAGCCAGGAGGGCAGGCCTCTGTGGCCTACGCAGAGGTTCAAGAAACCTAGTGGATTGAAGGATGCAGCAATGCGGCCACACGGGGGCGGGGGCGGGGCCGGGGGAGCCGCTGGCCTCAGAAAGGAGTCAGGGCCTCCTGCTTCCAGCCCTGTGCAGGGAGCCACAGCCAGGCAGCAAGCAGAGAGGCAGCATGGGGGTGGGAGGCCTGCGCCCAGTGGTGTCAGGAGCTCCCCCTCCCCTCCCGAGCACCCCAAGAAGCTCGAAGCACCACCCCACAAGCTAGGGAGGGCAGGCCAGCCCAGGGCAGGAAAACAGGGACGGGCCAGAAGGGGAACCTCGGGCGCTTGGAGGGGAGGGGTGGTCACTGAGGACTGGGGGCCTGGAATTCTCCCCGGGGGGTCGGGGTGCAGGGCAAGGCGGTGGGTCCAGGAAGGAGCTAGGCCGGGGGTTTTCTGCAGTCTCCCCACCCTGGAATCTCCAAGGCCATGGAGAAATTCGGGCTGGGATTTCCATGGGTACCATGACTCACCACCACCACCACCACCACCCCCCCACCACCACCACCGCCCCCCCGCCCCGTCCCATCACACACCCGGGATCAAAGCCTCCTTCCTCCTGGCCAGGTCTGGGGCTTCCGGAAAGAGCCTTCTCCCAAGGGTGGGGGCCGCGGCCTCCCCTCAGCCTCCCGGGGGAGGGACGTGTCCCCACCATCAGACACGGGAGGAGGGTCTCCCACTCCCTTCAGACTCCAGGGGTGGGGACCACAGGACTGAATGAGGATGGTGAGAATAGACCACGAAGGAAGGGCAGGCCCGATCCCACGAGGCCCCGCCACAGCCTGAAGGCCGGGGGCCCTTAGCTGCTGCGCCTGCACCTGCGCACTCAGGCCGGCGCTAGTCCGAGCCCCTCCCCCTCCCCTCCCCCCTCCCCCGAACCAGCTCGCGCCGCCCTCAGGCTCGTCGCCCGCCCACCTGCAGCCGCAGGGACACTTCTGCAGGCACGAGTCCCCTGACCCCAGGGCCCCGCGGGGCCCGCCAGAATCTAGTGGGGAACGGACCTGATGTCGGGGTAGCTCCGGATGAGTGTCTCTAGGTGCCGCCGGATGTCGTCTTTGTAAGTCTCGCCCAGTATGTCCGCCACGCACGGGATAGCTCGGCCCAACCAAGTAGCCTCAGAGCCCTACGGACACAGGGAGACGCGTGCGGGGTGGGCCACCGGCCCCCCCCCGGAACCCCCTTGCCGCGCCTGCCGGCAGCCCATCCATTAGAGCCCCGTAGAGCCCTCCTGAAGCCACCACCGCGGTCCCACTGGGTTGCCTCCTGCATCGCGGAAGGGGACGCGGGCCTCGGCACCGTGGACCCAGTCGCAGCTCAATAGTCATCTTCCCTCTCCCACGATAGAGCACGGAGGTGTCTTCCAGAATCTGCTCGGATGGGTAAACCGAGGCCCCGCGGGCAAGTCCTGCCTGGAGTCGTACAGCGGGTGGGGGACCAGCAGCCCAGATAAGAGGTGTATGTGGAGGGAGCAGACTCTCGAACTGCTCAGGGTCAGGGGCTCAGGAGAGGTCTTCCATAGTTCCCGCCCATCAGACGGGGCTGCGACCCTCATCCCTTCCCCACACACCCCACAAACTACATGCAAATGAATGCAAACGTATGCAAAGTGTCGTCCCCACCAGCCCCGCTCGGCTGGGGAAGAGTGCGCAGAATCACTTCCGACAAAGCCTGCCCCGCAGGGGCTCTTACAGGGGCGAGCGGAAATGAGAATGGGGGGTGCTAGTGGAGGGTCCCCACGCTGGAGGCCCCCCGAGGAGGCCGGCACTCCGGGCAGCCAGACAGTGCTCCTACCAGGCCCTGGAAGGTGTTGCCAATGGCCTGGGCGTCCAGGCCCATCTTCTGGGAGCCACTCACGCGCTCCACACCCCGGAACCGCTCGCGGGGCCTCAGCGCCTGCGCCAGGTACTCGCGGACGACGTAACGGTGTACCTCCTGCAGAGTCTCCTGGGCGGCCAAAGCGGGAGTCTGGGTCAGGGTCAACAGTAGGGGCCCTGGGCATGCCCCCACCACAGCTCGCCCCCCCCATACCTGCGCCCGGGGCGGGACCACATGCTCGAGGTGGCCGGCGAATGCCACCACCTTGTCCAGGAGGGGCTGCAGCACGTCCTGTGTCAGCCAGGCCTTGGTGCACAGGACCTTGAAGAGCGGCTGGGGGCAGAGGGGGTCAGGAGTCTTCTAGCCAGGTGTCCTCCCCACGCACTAGACCCTCCCCTGGGAGCCCCGTGCATGGCTCCTGACAGGGGTGTTTCAGGCCAAGGGACAATCTGTCAACAGGAAGAAATTCTGGGGAGCTATCTGACCCCCTCTCTACGGTACCTTGGTGACATTCCCTCTCCTGCCACAAATTATGTCACTAGGCCTTTCCCAGGGACTGCCTCCTCCAGGCCTGGAGCCCCAGTAGGCAGAGTTTGAGTTTGAGTTTGAGCCTCTAGCCAGGCCTTGCTTGGGGAGTCCTGGGGGGGCTTGAGGGGCCGGACGAGGAGGAGTTCATTGGACACACCCACTCTGAGACTGGGAACTTGTCTGGGTCCCCCGCCAGTCCCCCGACACACCACCCCAGCACTGCCCCCACGGTAAATGAATGCCGTGACTTGGGCTTCCAGGCTCCAGGACACAGGGGGCACCTGCTGGGCATGGAAAGTGGGGAGAGAAGGGCCCATTCCCCTCACCTGCACATCACCCTGCAAGCCCTGGAGCAGCCGCTTCTGAAAGGCGCAGGTGGCAGCCACCAGGGGCTTCTCCAGCTCTTCAAGACTTCCTGGGAACCTGGCCAGAAGATGAGTTCTGGGGAGGGGCCAGGATAGGGGACAAAGTGAGCAAGGGGGAACAGGCTGGGGTCAAGGCCTGGCATACTGCCATGAAGACTGGTGCCACACCAACGCCATTCACTTAGACTATAATGTGACGGGCAGACCCCTGGGGCTGCACAGTGTAGTAGCCCTGGGAGCAGAGTCAAGTGAGGGGACGGCACTATGCCCCAGGTCATAGAGGGGCAGGGCAGTGGAGTGGTGGTGGCCCCACTGCATGGCAGAGCTCCCCTTGGCAGCACTGAGCCGAACCTGCACCCCTCTTGGTGACAGAACAGTGCAGCGCAGCCATTCCTGACACAGGGGCCCCTCCTTTGAGCCTCATAACTGCCTCTCCAAATATTATAATGTCCCCATTTCACTGTTGAGTAAACCGAGGGCCAGGCTCTGCCCGGTCCCCAGCCCAGGGACACAGAAAGGCAGGCTAAATTTCCATCAGGGGCTTGGCCAGAGGCTGCCTACCAAGGAACAGAGAATGTTCCCTGGGGCTGAACCCCAGGGTTCCCCGTGCCCAGGGCCAGTCTGGCACAGATTAGGGACAAGAGAGTGTTATAGAAGCAGTGCCTCAGCGTGGTCAGGCTTTGGGTTCACACAGACCTTGTTCACGTCCCAGATCCAGCATGTACTGTCTGTGTGACCGTGGACGAGTGGCACTTCCTTTCTGAGCCTCCACATTCCCATCTGTACATGGGGACCCCACCCTCGCGCTGCAGCAGCTGATGCCTCTTAAGTGGGGGGGACACTAACGCTTGGCACAGAAGGGGGACAGCCAGTGCCAGCCCACGGGGGGGCCTCTGCCTTCTGGGGGTAGATAAACCCAGGCCCCAGCACGAGCAAAGCCTGGGGGGGGAGTGTCAGGGAGGGCTTCTTGGCCTCTGCTCGGCCTTGAAACTCCCCGCATCCCTTCCAGGGCCTCAGCTCTGCGGGGCCGAGACAGGACCCCACAGCGGAGACGGAGGCGGAGAGGCGAGCTATCCCTGGAGGCCTCCTGGGAAGGCCGCCTGAGGCCGCCGCGGTAGCCTTCCCGGTCCCGGTTCCCTCAGTTTGCGCGCCCCCTGCCGGCCGTGCTCGGCACCGCCCCTGCGGAGGAGCGAGATAAACCCACCTGAACTCCTCGCAGGCATTGATGTTGGCGCACAGGTTAGGCTCGCTCACCGCCCCCGACTCCAGGAAAGCCTTTTCAAACCTGGCGGAGAGGTACGCAGAGGTCTTGGAAACTCTTTCTGGCTTCTATGACCTCGCGTCCGCCCTCCCTTTGGCCTTACGATGAGGCTTGTCCGGGGATCTCGGACACTGAGCCAACAGGATGGGCCCTCCCCAGGGACGACCACCGTCCACACCCTGGCCACTCCACCCACCACACCCCGGCCCAAGGTGCGCCCCTACCTGGGCAGGAAGAGGCCAAGGGCCCGCGTGCAGATCTGCAAGGTGGTGGCCTCCAGCTCCGCGGAGATGGCGCCAGCTGCCTTCACGTGCTCTGCCACGAGCTGAGAGCGATGCCATGCGCTGAAGGCGCATCTGAGCCCTCAGTCCCGATGCCCCCAGCCCCCCACCTCGCGGCCCCGTGATGTCTCCAGCCTTCCCTGCCCTTCCTCGACGTCTCGCCTGCAACTTCCAGCGGCCCCAGCCTCGAGGTCAGCCGTCCCAACTCCCCCCACCCACAGGGCCGCCTGCTAAGCTGGGAGCTGTGGCCTGGCGCTCCCAGCTTGGCCAGGCAACCCGAGGGCCTCTGATCCAGCCCCATATGGGGCCTCAAGCTCCCGTCTAACGGGGAGGCGGTTATGACTGTATTTTACAGCTCTGGGTGTCTCTACCGCCTGAGGCCCAAACACGTGTCCCTCCTTCTGGGCACACCATGTGTACGTCGATGGACAGTGGCGTATGGTAGTGGCCCTGCAGCACGTCGGGGGCCTCGGCAGCCACCCAGCGACTCTGTTCTACCTGCAGGATGCCATCGAAGCAGCTCGCGATCTTGGTCTGTGCGGGGTAAGGAAGGGGCCGCGGTGAGACCCTCCCAGGAAGGAGGTCCCCTACCTCCCGAGCCCAGAGCCCCGTCACGCACCCTTGGAGACAGGGGCCACCCTGCTGGTGCACAGGCCCATGCCTGAGGGCACGGAGCCTCCCTGCAGTGGGGCGGCGGCGGCCACACTCAACCTGGACTCCGCCCCCTCCGGCCTGGCCCCTCGTGGCCCTTACCTCCAGGAAGCTGGTGTAGTCGCTCTCGAGTCGGGCCCACACATCGGGTGCCAGGAGTGGGGGCAGCGGCTCCGAGGGCAGAGCCAGGTCCTGGGAGCCCAGGAAATCAGGACTGGAAGGCAGGGTGGAGCCTGAAGTTCTGAGCAGAACTCTGATGGGGCAGCGGCTGCCCCTACTCCCCTCTGGATAGGCTCAAAGCCTAACGCCATCACCGTGAGGGCCCCGAATCTGGGCTCAGCCCCTCAGCCCCCACCGCGCCCTCCAGGTTTCCATCGAGACACCCCTCCCCGCGGCTTCTGACTGCAGGACTTCCTGTTACCCTCAGCGACCAGCTGTGCATGCAGACTGCGTAAAGAGGGCCGTCCAGGTGGACCTTGACCAGGTTGCCTCGGGTGACCACTACCCTCACGGTCAGGGTACACCCAAGACTGAACTCTAAACGCCCCCAGGACCATGCAGCTCAGGGACCAGCCACTACCCTGTCCACACTAGGGAGGCCCAGACAGGGGCGGGTACTTGTCTGAGGCCACAGGGCCTATTAAGGAGCCCAGAACTTTGGCGCCCTCCTCCGGCTTGCCTGTCTGCCCGTGGGGCTGGGGAGCGCTCAGCGGGGGAGGTGACCCACCCCACGACGTTCTGCAGAGCCCTGAACCCAGGTGTCCATCCAAAGCGAGAGTGGGGCTGAAAGCCAACTCACGCCAAGTGCTGTGAGCCCACGGTTGTGTCCTGCCTGGAGGGGTGCCCGTTGCTAATTCACTCAGAGGCACCCTGTGGACTAGCTTGTGCCTAACTGGGCTCCCTGCCTCATAAGCAACCCCCGCCCCCCACCCGGATGCTTTCCAGCTTCAGGAACCGGCGGCTGGATGGCCCCCTCCCCTCTCGGGAGAGCACCATGGTCTAGAACGGAGAGGAGAGAATGTCGAAGCCTCCTGGATATCGCCAGCACTCTCCGGGGAGGAAAAGGGGAAGAAAGGTGCCCTGTGCTCTTTAGAGCAGGTTCCTGAAGGCCTCTCGCGTGGGCAGTTCCAGCCCCTCCTTGCCCCTCATGGCGTCCTGGCTGGGGCCTCACCTGCTGTAGACATTGGAGGCCCAGTCCAGCAGGACGTAGAGCTGCTCGCAGCCATGGGCGTCGTGCGCCAGCTCCTGGAGGCGCTGGGCCACTGCGCCGTGGAAGGCGCGCAGGTAGGCCTCCCACGCGGGATAGCCGGCGGCCGCGTAAGCCGGGTGCACCTCCAGCTGCACCTTCTGCAGGTCGCGGCGAACCAAGCGGCCGAGCTCGGCCAGAAGCTGGGCCAAGCCGGAGGCACCCTCGGCTGCCCCCGGGGCCTCCCCTGCGCTCACCTGCTGCACGCGCTCACGCGCGCTCCGGCGCACCGCGTCCTCCCAGTGCTGGCGCCAGTGGCGCGGCGTGCACAGAAAGTCGCCGTCTGCAGGGGGCTCTGGGTGGGCCTCCTCTTCCGCGCGCACCACGCGGGCCAGCTCCGCGAGCACGGCCGCGTCCACGCCGTCCGGGCCCAGGGTCTCGAGCACGATGGCGCCGATCTCCGCAGCCAGCCCGTCGTAGTGCAGGCACAGGTCCATGGCGCGCCGCGCAAAGCCCGTGGGGTCCTGCTCGAAGGTGCGCGAGGCTTTCTCGGCCACTAGCTGAGTCTCGAGGTGCCGCAGCTGCTCGAAGGCCGCCAGCAGTTTCCGCTCCGTGATGAGGTCAGCCACAGATTTGTCTTTTGCGAGGTCAGGTGAGAAGAGGGGCAATGAGGGGGACGCCTCAGCTAGGCCTGTCGGCCCCGATCCCACACATCCGGAGCCGGGCTGCCGGGCCCCAGAGCTGCATCTGAAGGCCTGCTCCAGGAGCGACAGCCCCAGGTGCCCTGTGTCCTCTGGAATCACCTTTGAAGAGGCAGAACCCCAGGTCCCAAGCCTGGCTCAGAACAGCAATTGGGATCAGCCCCTGCCTTCCCCCTCCCCCACTCCCATTCCCACTCCCAGCTCTACAGAACTGGACCTGGTGGCTTCAAGTACGGTCCTGACTGCAGGTCCAATGGGGTCAGAGCTCAGGGTGGGCATGCCCAGGCTCCTGCCGCAGTGTCCAGCTTCAGCACTTCTTGCTGTTCCCTGCTCTGGGCCAACTTCCAGCCCCTAGGAGCGCTCTACCTTCACCTACATTCCCCCTTCAGGGCCCTACTCCAATGTGTCCTCTCCTGGGCAGCCCTCTGACCTCTCCTCTGCCCCATGGCTCACAGGCACCCTCTGTGACGCTGTGATCTGAGAGGGCCAGTGCCTTCTCCACCACTCTGGTTTGGCCAGGAGCCAGGCTGTGGAAGCCTGTGGAGTCCTGGGGTCCTGCAGATCTGGGTTCACATCCCATTTTTCCACTTCCCAGCTGTGAGACTTGAGGCAAGTCACTTAACCTCTCTGAGCCTCACTTTTCTCAGCTGCCCTTGTTGGAATGTTGGAAGAATTTAACTTGAGATTGTACAGGGGCAGGGGTTTGGGGTAGCTGGGGAGGAGAGCCTGTCAGGAAGCCTAGGCCCCACTGCCCCCCTCTCTGGCCTCGGTTTCCTCCCCTGCTTAGCGGTGAGGAATCCCTCACCTTCTAGTTCCGCAGGCCCCGCCCCAGTGGATGACTGCGGGCTGACACCGTCCATGGCCCTTGAGGACGCCTCCCGGCCATGGGCCACCCCTGGCCCAGTGGTAGCCTGGGTCTGGTCAGCAGCCGGGCCCTCGTCCCGAGCACGCCGTAAAGACCGGAACAAGAGGCGGGAGCTGCGCCTGAGCAGGCCTGGGTCCTCCTGGGGGGCGCAGCCCGAAGCCCGCTGGCTTGCCTTTGAGAAGGCCCGCCGAAGGGTGCCCAGGCCAGGCCTCAAGCCCTCACGATGGGCGCTGGACGTATCCTCACTGCTTGCCTTCCGAGTGCCCTGAGCTGGGATCCGGGGTCCCGCAGGCTCCCTGGGGCTGTGCAGCTCCGGCCCAGAGGCCACTGTCTGAGGCGACGGCATCTTGGCGGCAGCAGAGCTGGGGGCGAAAAGGAGGCTCAGGAAGCCCTGGGGGGTGCCTAGCCCCCAGGAGCAGACACAGAAACCCATGAGAGCCCTGTGGGATGTGCTGGGGCCCAGTAGCTTAGTCAGGGAAGCTTTCCCCAGGAGGTGACCCCAGGGCTGTCAAAAAGGAAATGTCACCAGGCCGCTCCCATGGCCAGAGCCGTCTTTGTGCCAGGCTGCAGCTACTTCTGCAGACACAGACAGCTGCTTCCATCAGGAAACCTTCCCTGACACCATCTTCCAAGAAGGTCTCCTCCAGGCCCACCTCACCGGCTTTGCCAGGCCAGACCCTCCCATCGGAGCTGGAGAGGGAACTGAACGCGTGGGTTCTGGGGCACAGCCCGACCCGCAGCCCACAGTCCCCGGGGCTGGGCCCAGAAACCACGTCCAGGACTTCCTGGACCTTAGGTCCTGAGGCTAAAATGCCCACCCCCTCCACAAGCCACTCACTGCCCCCCACCCCATCCTTCAGCTCACCCCCATTCAGCCATCAGGCCTAACTGCTTCTGCTCAAAGCGGAGCTCAGGGACCCCCGTGGGAGGCCATGCCTTTTCCCTGGGTGTCTCAGAACTGGAGGGAGGTGGGGTCAGGCCGGAGGGGGCTGGCCTAGGCCACCGGGGGCTTATCGGGCCTTGCAGCCTGCAGGGAAGGCTGTGGGAGGGGCCATGCTTCTATATTTAACCAGGGGCTGGAGGTTCCCAAGCTGTTTCTCACCCATTGCATCTCCTCCCCACCACCCAGAGAGGTATGCTCTGGCCCCTCCCCGACAGAGGGTGGGGAGGGGGTCCCCAGGGCATGGGGGTGCAGAACAAGGGCTGCCCCTGACCCACCCCGAGCGGGGCCCTCACCACCCAGGCTCCCCCAGGCTCCGCCCACACCCCACCCCCTTTCCGCCCAGCCTGGCTGTGTTTGACTTTCTGCCTTTAGGTAAAGCTAGGGGTGGGAGAAAGGAGAGAAACTTCTTGGCTTGCTGGAACCTCCCACCCACCCCATTGTGTTAAGAGGGGTTGGAGATGGTGGGGGGCCAGCAAGGTCTCACTTTGACCTTGAAGAAACTGGGGCCCAAAGAAGGGCAGGACCTGCTGAAGTCACTGACCAACCAGAGGCTGAGACACCCCCATCCCCAGGTCACCCCCCACCATGGGGACAAAGGCCAGGCTGGAGCCAGCACCTGACTCTTGGGTGATAGTGGGCAGGAACGGCCTCTCCCCAGGCCTCAGTTTGACACCAGGATGGGCAGGACCCAGACCCCTATCCACCCCCTCATGCCCTCCAGCGAGATGTCTGTGCGGGGGTCAGACATGCAGGGGGTCCGCTGAGGCCTACCTTCCTCTCCCAGAGGCCACTGAGCTGCTGGAAGGAGGCCCCACTGAGGGAGGGGCAGGCTCAGGTGATTGATGGGGGCCTTATCAGCCCCACCCTGGCCACAGGTCGTTGTCCTCCCCTGGTGCCAGGACTCGGGGACCCTGCCCGCAGACCAGCCCAACGGCAGGGAGCATTGTCACAGGAGCCGGCCATCCCCTCCACCCACTGCCCCCCCACCCCACCCCTGGTGTCCCCCAGTGCCCAGCAGGGGCAGGTGTGGTGATGAAGAAAGCCATTCCAGCTGTGCCCAGCCTGCCGTGCTCCGGGCTCTGTCTCCAGGGAGTGTGGGGGAAGGACAAGCTGGCCTACCTTGGCTGGGAAGAGCTCACACTTAGTAAGCACCCATTGCGTGCTCAGCCCAATGCCCGACACACGTCAGATCCCCATGACGATAAAGTGGCAGGGTGTCGTTCACTGCATTTCATACATGAGGAAACAGGCTCAGAGAGGGACAGGGTCTTGCCTTAAGCCACACAGCTCCCAGGCGGGGAGCCTGGGCCAGCCCAGGTCTGTCTAGGAACCTGGGAGCAGAGGCTGGACTCCTGTGTCTCCCGGCATCAGCAAGCCCTGCTGCCCGAGGAACCCTTTCTCCTGGCAGAGGTTCGGAAGGTGGGGTCAGCTCCAGATGCCCGGAGCGGGGTCGGACTTGAAGCTCTCCCAGGAAGCCTAGAGGCAAATTCTGGGGGAGGAGGGGCAGCTGGTGGCTGGGTCTCATGGGAGGTCACAGAGGCAGAGACTTGGAGCCCACCTACCCTGCTCAACCACCCTCGTCCCAAATCAGAGCTGCACTGAAGGCCCATCGAGGCCCCTAGCTGGTCCCTCTGCCCCCTGTTCCCTGAATCCCGCTTCTGCAGCTTCCCAAGTCATTCTTGACCTTCACAAGGCACAAGTCAACCCGGTCACTCTCCTACTTTAAACCCTTCCGTGGCTCTCCGCAGCCCTCAGGCCAAGCCTGAGCCCCACAGCCTGGCATTCGAAGCCCCCTGTCCTGGACCGAGCTTTCTGCAGCCTCATTTCTGGGCCTCCTTGACCTGCACCCATCCAGCCCCACCAGCCGCCTTGTGCCTGTCCAGCCTCCCACCTTCTACTTAGGCTGCTCCTTCTCCCAGCCTCCCCCTCTACTCCCCGAATCTGACCTGGTCTTCAGAACCTCGGGTGCAGGTGCCTCCACCTCCAAGGAGTCCTTGGGCTGTGCTGTACCACCTGTCTGCTCGTCAGGCCCTCGGACTGTCCCTGTGGTGATGGGGCCTCCTCACTGGCCTGGGGACCTCTATTCTTCTACCCCCTCCCCGTCACCCCAGAGCCAGCCTGGCGGAGGAGTGAACCATCAATGTAAGGGTCACCCCCTGCCTGGCTGGCCTGGCCAGGCGTCACGCTGGTGTCTTCTGGGCTGCAGACTCCTTGCCGACTCTACCTTGGCCCCTGCCCCGTGCCTGCCTCCCCACCCATGGGGCCTCTCTCTGGCTTTCTTTCTCTCTGTCCCATTGCCCTGAGTGTTCAGAGGCCCTGGCCCTTGTGCCTGGGACGTGGTGCTGGATGAGCTTCAAGGCCCAGGAGGCCCAGGCCTAGCCTGAGCCCTGGGCCCCATGTTCTCCAGGTCAGGCCAAGACACCCACACTGCAGGGCCAGTGGCAGGGGCAGGAATGCCACCCAGAAGACATGGTCACTGGAAGCTCCCATCTGGGGCCACCCTATCTGTGACCAAGAAGTCAAGTTTGGGCTTCCCCCACCACTTGCTATCCCCAGCCCCAGCTTCCACCCCCTTTTCCTAGGCCTTCCCTCCTATAGCATCTCCTCCCAGGTATCCCGTGGTGCCCTTCCCACTCCCAGCCTCTCCACCTACCCTGGGCCTGGACTGTCAACCCATCCTTCAAAGCTCCAAAGTAGCCGCCTCGGGCAGAGGACTGTGTCTCCCTCATACCTCCCACCTGCCACCCCCCCATCACCTGATCACAGGTCCTAACTGTACCCCTTCCTAGACCCCTTGAAACCCATCTTGTCAGAGCAATGGGGGGGGGGGTCTTGCCAAAACATAAACCTCCCTTAAAACCCTTCCTTGCAAGGTAAGGTTCTTCTCCTGAAATACGGAAGAAGACAAGCGTGTGTTCTCACACCATTCAACATTTGCCTAGAAGAACTAGCAAAGGCAATAAGGCAAGAAAAATGAATAAGAAGTATAAATATCGGGAAGGACCTGATAAAAAATGTCATTCTTTGTAGGTGACATGATCGTCTGCTTAGAAATAGCTTTTCTATACTCCAGAAAAGCCTATTTTTAAAAGGCACTTAAAAGGCTTCCCTTTTTAATAGCAACAAAACATAACCCCTCTCCCCACCCTGGGCTGCCATCACCCTCGGGAGAAGCACAGACTCCTTAGCTGGGCATTCAAGACCCTTCCTAACTGGCCCCTCCAGTTTCATCTACTCAATCACTCACCCACTCTGATCACTTGGATGCACTCACCTCTCCTCCACACCTTTGTACAGACTGTTCCCTCTGCCAACAGTGACCTCGCCCCCACCTTCTGCAGCTGCTGACTGCTTCAAGGCTCAGCACATGTGGCTCCTCCCCCAAGAAGCCTTCTCCAACCAGCTGAGCCCCAGATCATGGTCGGCGCCTCCTGCTCTGGGCCTGGTTCCTGCCCTGGGCACAACTTCTCCCATGATCGGGGGACAATTACAGGGTTTGGGGCATCTGCCTCTTGACCAGGAACCCCCCCAGGGCAGAGAGTGGGCCTGACCCAGCCTCCAGCCAGGGCTGGTACATGGCAGGTGCCCAAGGAAAAGAGATAAGCAATTTCATGTAGGCGCATCAGCCCATAGGTGTGCCGCTACTTTGTGCATATGGGTTTTGCACAACTCTGTGTTAACCTGAGTGTGTCTCCCGGTACGTGTGTGCCTCAGAGTGTCTGTGAGTGGTTCTGTTCGTGAGTCCATGTAGGTCTGCATGTCTGCATGTTCATGTCTGTATGCTTTCTATCTCTGTGTGTTGTGTGTGCATGTGTGCACACGTGTATCACTGTGATTTGAGCTGGCATTCTGGCCTGGGCTCCGAGCCGGGGTGCTCAGCCTGGAAGGCCACTAGCAGAACCAGAATTGTCCTCAGCCCCTTGAGTCCCCGCCTACTCCCCACAGCACCCCGCTGGCCCTCCTGCCCCACCTGCACAGACATACCTGCCGGGTGAGTAGACACTGGGCCCCAAACAGAGCAGGGCTGCCAGGAGAAGCCAGCCGAGCTGGGGCCTCAGAGTGGGGCCTAGGCGCTGGGGCCTCTGGAGCAGCCAGAGCGAGTGACCAACAGCTGGGACTCCCCAGCTACCGCCAAGCTGGCCACGGCCCCCAGCCCCACCCTCCACCACAGCCCCATGCTTTCACTTGTAGAAATGCTCCCGCCCCGTTCCCACTCCAGAGGCAATCACTCCAACCTTTGACTCCTGGCAACGCAGGCCAGCGGCCGTGGAGGGGAGGGACGAGGAAGCAGCGCTCCGGAGGCCGTGGAGGGGGTGGACATGGCTGGGGAGGGCTGGTCACACTGAGGCCAGAGGCAGCAGGCACCAGCTGGCTGGAAGGGGGCACCCAGCCCACAGCGGCCAAGCCCAGAAGGACCCCTCCCTCCAGGGCAGAGTCGCCAGCGCCAGCCCTGTGCCCTGCCTGGCGCTGAGAGCCCCAAGGGCAGAAATGGGGGGGAGACAGCAACAGCAAAGGGAACATTGTAGGCCACCTGCCAGGAGCTAGAAGGAGAGGGGCCCTCGAGGACAGATAGGATTACGCTCAGGGACAGGAGGGATAGCAGGGGTCCGCCCGTGAGGGAAGGTGAGGAGGTGGGCCTGAGCCTGAGTGGCCAGGAGCACAGGTCCCACTCCTCCAAGGTGGCTCCAGCTAAAGACATTTTGTGGGGAGGGTCACTGAGGAGACGCTGGCCCGACACCCTCCTGGGGGGATTCCGCTGCTGGCGTCCTACGGAAAAAACTTAGGGAAAATCCAGGGAGGACAGATCCAGGCCTGTTCACTCGGGCTGGAGCCACAGGGGCGTGGGGCAGAGCAGGGGAGGTGCTCTGGGCAGTGTTCTGAAGAGAGCAGACACAAGCCCCTGAGCTGTCCCAGGGCGCTGGGGGGCTTAAACAGCAGACATTTATTTTCTCACAGTTCTGGAGGCTGCAAGGTCCCAGATCAAGGTGTTGACAGGGCTGATTTCTCCTGAGGCATCTCTCCGTGGCTTGTGGATGGCCGTCTTCTCCCTGTGTCATCCCTCTGTGGGTCTGTGTCCTCATCTCCCCCTCTTATAAGGCCATGTTGGATTAGGACCCACCAAAATGGGCTCATTTTAACTTAGTCACTCTTTACAAAGACCCACCTCCAAATACAGTCACATTCTGAGGTACTGGGAGGTAAGACTTCAACATAAGAATTTTTTGAGGACAGAATCCAGCCCATAACAGATTGGAAGGCACCTGAGATGCTGCAGTACCTTGCTGACATCTGCACATGGACCAAGTTGTACCTGGAGATACCAGCACCTCCTCCAGGAAGCCCTCTAGTTTTCTCTTGAGTCATTAGCTCCCAGAGCCCTGGGTTCTCCTCTGTGAACTGGGGCCATAAGAGTCCCAGCTCAAGCCTATGAGGCACCCAGCTGGTTGGGTGGGCCTTCCCCCCCCACCCCAGCTCAGGCCAGCCTGCCCAATGGCCTCCTGTCCCATGTGTCTCCAACAGTCAGAGACTAAGAGATGAGAGGGGCAAGCACAACTCAAGAGACCGAAGTGGTGGTGGGGGGGGCCCTCGAGGTGATCACCCAGGGCTCTTCGGTGGAAGTCCTGGGACCCCGTGGGGTAGCTGCTCCCCACCCATATTGCACTAGGACACCAACTCAGAAAGGCATAGGAACCTGCTCACGGCCACACATTTGGCAAGAAAGAGGCTAGGCTTCCAGCCTAGATCTCTGCCTCCGAGGACTGGGTCTTCCCATGGGGCAGGGCCCTGGTGGACACTGGGGGCTCCTTGGTCTGCCCCTCCTGTTCTCCAGGTCACGGGGCACATCTGAGTGCTGGGACCTCCCAATGTAGGTCACCTCCACTCAAAAGATAGGTCCCTAAAAAGTTGGTGGTGCCCAGGCCTAGGGGGTTGCCCCCTGACCTCTTCTCAGCCCCCAGCTGCACCCCACCCCTGCCCAAACCTGTGCCCGCTTTTCAGCATGAGGCTGTGCTCTTTCTTTTACTCTATTTCCATGTTGTTTTCCCCCAACTTTCTCAGTAAAATCCCTTTGGAAAAGTCCCATCCTTGTCTCAGAGAAGCCTTGGGCACAGGGCCGGTCTGGCCCGGGTCAGGAGAAGGCCGAGCAGAGGGGGCAGTTGGGAAGGGGCGGAACAGCTGGGAACCCCAAGAAGAGAGCAATTCCTCTGCCCCATGTTGGGCCGCACAGCCCTGGGAGAGGCATTTCTCATTCAGCCTCAGGTTATTCCTCCATAAAATGGGGTTGTTGTTGGGATCCAGTGGGCTCACCTCAGCAGAGGACCTGGCACCCAGGGCAGGAAGGGAGGGAGAAGGACCACACCACCAGATGCTTGCCTGTCCTAGGGGTTCCTGGGGAGCCAGGCTACTGCACGCTGAATGTAGAGGCCCAAAGTGGCAAATTCCACTTACACTGCCGCCGGGTCCAGGGCAGAGACCGGCCTGGGAACACGACACCAAGGCTCCAGCCTCTGCCCCTAACCGGCTGTGGGCCTGGGCAGGGGTCAGTGTCTGTCTCTGAGCCTCAATCTCTCCGAGGCCGATGTTGCAAAGTTTAGGTTGGCCAGCTCCTGCGCGCTGGGGGCGGGGCCGCAGGAGGAGGGGCGGAGCATATATCTCTGGCACCGCCCCCTACAGTTACGCGCAAGCTCGCGGGTCAGTCGCTGTGTGCGTGGTCTCAGCCTGCTGGTCTTTAAGGGCCGAGGCCCTGCGCTGTGCGGGACAGCAGACCCACAGGGTGAAGATCGCCCCCACTGGGCTGCCTCCCCGGGCCTGACACCCCCTTATTCCCCAGCTCACGGAGCACGACGGGGACCCGGGACCTCCAGTTACGGGTCGCCTCCACCCAAGAGCTGCCCTGTTAGGCGGTGAGCTCCAGAGTGGCGTTGTGGGTACCGCTAGGGCTTAGGTCTCGGGCGCACCTGGGATCCTGACCCAGCCCGGCTCTTTGTCAGCTGTGGGACCTTGAGAAAGTCGCGTTTAAATGGCTGCAACACTCTGCCCGGGAGGGGCGAAGATGAAATCTCAGTAAATGGCACCATCGTCCCGCCCCTCCCCAGCATTCCACACCAGGAACCCGGAAATGACTCCTGCTTGCTCAGGCCCTCGACCCAGTCCCATGTGTCAGCAAGTCCTGGCAAGGCTTCCTGTGAAGTGTCTGCCCCCTGCCCCCTCGTGGAGCCGACAGGAAGGGTCTGTGGAGGAAGAGGGGCGGGACCTTGAAGGACAGCCCAACCCCCTCCTAAGAGGAGCCATCCTGGGCCTGTGTACTGGCCGCAGGTTTAAAATTAAAGCAGGCTGCCAGGCAAACTTCTGCACCTCGCCTCCCACCTCTCCTGCATTTGGGGGGTGGGCTATTTTTAGAAAGAAGGCGGGTAGGAGAAAGTGCCTTATTCATCCTGGAGGTTAGCAAGGCCTCCAGGAAAGAACAGAGGGGCCTGTGTCTCCCACCTCCTCCTCCAGGTTCACCAAGACCTCACGCTACCACCCACCTGGGCCTGTGGATTTGTTGAGCTAACATCTATGCAGGGCTCCCCCTTGCCAGGCCCTGAGCTTCCTCAGGCCTGGGTCAGCCTGGCTGAGAGCAGGGGGCCAGGTTGGGATGATGGGAGGGAGGGTGGCACAGCTGGGGAGTGGGTCCAGGCAGTGATCAGGTTTCTGCGCCCCAGGCCCACCCCAACCGGCCAGCAGAACCAAGAAACGATGTCGCTGTACCCCATGGAGGGATAGGGCCCTCGCGTGGCCCAGGAGGAGGTGCTACCCAATCTCCCACATGGACACTCTGGCTGGATCAGTGGCTTCCCAACTTCAGGGATCCCGTCATAGCCGGGGCCAGCACTAGCCTTGGGCTCCTCACTTCGCACCTCAGCTTCCTCATCCATACGATGGGATTACGCAAGGACTTAATAAGATTCAAGCTGGAATAGGTGTGCCCCACCCATGTACCATTCCTGTGCCCTACTGCACCCAGAGTGGGTAGGGGGTGACAGGAGAAGTCCTGCCTCGGGGTCCAGCCAGGGCTGGAGGTCCCAAGGAGGGGGGGAGGCCACCTAGAGGAAGCTGGTCTTGCCTTGGACAGCCTCAGCTGAGGCCGAGCAGAGCAGAGGGCCCTAGGCAGGGTGCCAGAGCAGCAAACACGACAGTCCCGTCAACCACCCTCACCCCCAGTGTGGAACACCCAGTGGTCACTCACTGGGCACTCTGGTCTGGTCAGCATGGGCTCTGAACAGAGGCCCTTGCCTGGAATGCCACTGGCAGAACCAAAATTGTCCTTAGCTCCTCGAATCCCCACCAGGTGCACCCCCTGACCACCAGGAAGAGTCTTTATTTCTGCTTCCAACCAGAGAACAAGGAGGGGTGTGATCCGGACCCTGGGCTGTGGACAGGAGAGGGCAGGGGCTTGCAGTGCTGGCGGAGCTGGTGAGGCCGGAGGTGGTAGCTCAGCTCTGCCTACTGGGCGCCCGGGCAGGCCCAGGCCGCTCTAAGCATCCCCAGCCGCTCTGGGGCTGAGGCCCTCTCAGCTGTCAGAGCCCAGGGACAGCGGAATCTGGCCATGTCCTTGCCCCATCACTGGGTGCAGGGGGACTGGTCCTCAGAGCTGGCACGCTTGCTGCCAGTGCCATCTGGAACCTTCCCTGGTGCTCCCGGCAGACGCGGTGAGGGAGGCTGCAGAAACACAAGGGCCTCCGTGTTGGTGGGTGATGCATTTCTGACAGGTCTGCAAGGAAACGTGCGAGGGTGGGGCAGGCCCCAAGTTTCCCACGGGCGAAGGAGAGGAGGTGCTGGGTGCGTGGTCCTCGGTGAGAGAGGGCGGATGAGGCCAGGCTCTGGGAGCCCCCGCCCCAGAGCATGGCCACCAGAGGTTGGGAGGAGGCCCGGGGACCTCCCCAGAGCCCACGTGTCACTGGTTACCCGAGGGGCGGACCCTGGACAGACCTGGCAGAGGCTGAGGGGAGTCTGGGGAGAGGTGGGCGGCACGGCACGGACAGGCTTCTTCTGGGCCCCGGCTGCAAGGGGCCTGCGGGCCAGGGAGGGCTGCAGCGGGGGCGGGGAGCTGGCCTCTGGGGAGGAGCAACCGGCGGGTGGGGGGTCAAGCAGCCCCAGCTGAGGCTGAATTCCCTGGGACAGACTCCCCAGGGGTCTCCAGGGGACAAAGCTAGCCAGGGCACAACGCACCCCTCATGCATCCTCCACAGAGGCCCTCACTGCCCAGCCCGCTGTTTCTCCCGTGCTGCAGGGCTGGCTCCTGGCTGACCCCTCTCCTGCCCGCATCCCCCTCCCAGAAGCTCCGCTGGCTCTGGCAGCCCCTCGGCCTTTAACCAGGGCGCCCACGCCAAGACAGGCACCTCCCACCAGGCTGGCCCATCTCCCCGGCCTCGCACCCACACCCGTACCCCGCGCAGGCTCTGGTGGGCAATGCACGCCTGTCCCAAAGGTAATGAATCGTGAGGGCGAGGGGAGAGGGGGCGGGACCGGGTGGCGAAGGGTGAGAACAGACCCATACCTGTGTGCCAGGCCAGGGGCCACAACAGCGGATGAGGGGACTTCGTGTGCCGATGGGAGGGGGACGGTGACAGGGAGAGGGGCAGGCCAGGCAGCGCCTAAGCGCCGAGCAGAAGCTCACAGGGCAGGCAGGTGAATGGGTGCAAGCAGGCTGGAGGGTGGGGGACCCGGCTCCTGACTCCTCTCGGGACCCCTACAGGCAGCCCCTCACTCAGCAGCAGCAGCCTGGCTCTGGGCGGACCCCCTCTGGGCGCCCTCCGGAGGCCAACGCAGCTCCCCGCTCGCCACGGCACCCCCCTCGCCGGGCTCCACCATGATTGAGGGCAGCCGCTGGCCCACCCGAGGGCCCTTCTCCCGGGCACCCACCATGGCCTGCAGGGAGGGTGGGTGGGGGTCAAGGCAACGCCAGGCCTGGGCTCCCCACTCCCTGCCATGCCTGTCCTGCACTGTCCCAGTCCCCAGGGCCAGGAGAGCACACGCGCATACATGCACATCCTCCAGAGGGTCCCGGCCCCTCCCCCATCCCACCGCTGGAGCTGGGGCACTCAGCACCTGGGATTGCGGGCTCTCCCTGGGGCAACACAGGACCCACCTGGGCTCAGCCCTTAGGCCCATTTAACAAACAGCAGCCTGAGACCAGAAGGCCAAGGTCACATGGTGAGCGAGCTCAGGGCTTTTGTGCATCCCCAGCTGTCTCCGGTATCCTGCAAAGCCCCTTCCTGGGGGTCTTTCCTACTGGGCCCTTGGCCCCCTCCCCAGCTCGGAGGAGCTGGGAAGCTGTTGCCATGGCAACCTGAGTGACTTGCCCCGGGCTCATTGTTCAGTGCCCACAGGAGCCCTGCGGGGGGGGCCGCCTCCCCAAGCTCTCCTGGTGCCTTCAGCATCTCCGCCTCCCATTCAAGGCCTTCCAAGGTAGAGGCCCCAACCACCAGTGCCGCAGCACAGGCCTCCGGCCCGGCGCCACAGCAGCCCTGACTTCCCTCCGTGCCTTTGCCTCGGCTGGTCCCCTTCCTGGAGCTCCCCACCCCCCTTCTTTCACCCAGAAAGAGGACTGCTTGGTGCGTGTCTGCCTTCCCCCAAAGGTGCATCGAGGAAGGGCAGGCGCACAGCCGGCAGGACTTTGTTAAATGGCCCTGAGTCCCCCAGCAGAACCATCTGAACATGTGTTTAAATGCACTCTCTGGGTGGGGGCCCAGGAAACAGCATTTTAACAAAGTACCACAGGTGACCCTTAAGTGTGAAAACAGGTGTCACTAGCCTGGGACATCTGCGGAATCGGAGTGACAACAGAGCAGGGACCCCAGCATGGCCCAATGACTGGACCTCCTGCTGGCCTTGCCAGTCCAGGGGCTCCTTCTGGGAATCCCTCTCCCCCCATCCCACCCTGCCATTCTCCTTCCTACCCTCCTCCAGGGAGCCCTGCTGGTCCCCGCCCGGGGGTGCTCCTCTGCCCAGACAGTGGGGGAAGGTGATCCAGGCCCGTGGAGTTTGGTGTCCACCCTCCCCGTCTGCCTCGCCAGGAGGGCAAGCCCAGGCTCCAGACTGGCCCTCGTGCAGCTCTGGGCTGGTCCCCCCACTCTGGTCCCACTGCCCCCAACAATGAGAAGAGCCCAACTCCAGCACTCAGGATATCAGGACGGCACCCCTTAGGCAGGGACCTCACTTTTCAGCTCCATCAGTACCACCCGGAAAAGTAGCACTGAGGGCAGGGGACCCTGGCATGGCCTCACCCAGCAGAGAGCAGACTGTCTTGGGCACAAGGTCTGCTTTGCAGATCAGACCCCCGTAGAGGAGAACCTCCACCCAGATGGGTAAACTGAGGCATGCGCTGAGTCGCAGGCCAGGGTTCCAGGGTGGCAGACCGCAGGGTCCCAACTGCATACCTTTCCTCCCAGGCCTCCAGCCTCCTCAGCTGGGTTCAGCTCTGGCACGGTGGGCTGGGGGGCACTCATGCTGCTGCCACTGTTGGGCTGCTCGGAGACAAGGAGCAGAAATGGGGTGTCTGCTGTGGGCCAGATGCTCGATCCCACCCTCCTCCCGGAAGCTTCAGACGACTCCAGCCCACACCCGCCCCACCCCAGGCCCAGCACCCACAGCCCAGGCTGGACCTCTCTCACTGCTGCTCCCTGCCTGAGCCCACCCTCAGGGGGGCGCTGAGGGACAGGTCCCACACGGTGTGCCCAGGCTGCAGCGGGGCAGTGGCAGGAGTGCTCAGTCCTCCCTGAGAACAGACACCCTGCACACCCAAGGCGAAGGGAAACTGACCTCCTGCCTGCGTGTGGCCACGCCCACTCAAGCCAGGCGCAGGGGCAAGGGAGCCCCACCAGAGACCACACAGCAGGGGCTCTGGGAAGAGAGGTCCTGCCAGGACTCGTGGGCACCGGCCTCAAACTCTCCACCTGCACTAGGCCAGAGGCAGAAATGGGGGCGGGCTCTGGCAGGCAGACACCTCGTTGGGCGCTGGCTCGGGGGACAGCAGCGGCCACGTGCAAGGGGCAGGAGTGCTAGCAGGGAGGGCACTGACCGGCAGGCTGGAATGCTTGTGATGCCCTGCTGCTTGTGGGGAGGGGATCCTGTGCCCACCCAGCAAAACAGGATGGCTGCCTTTCTGGGAAATGAGGTTTCTTTCACCCAGCACCCAGCTTAGGTCAGCTGAAGTCCCACTGGGACCCAGGGAAGGCTGCGAGGGGACCACACACTGCAGTGGGCATCCCAGGGCATACCCACCTGAGCCTCCACCCAATCCCAGAGCTTGTGAAAGCCCCTCCCCCCAGGCTGATGCTCCCAGGTCAGTCCCTCCAGAGGAGCCCTTCATAGGGGATCCCATCCCAGGACCCCAGAACCTCAAGTAGAGCCCGGGGAGCCAGGACAGAGACCAGGAAAGTGGACTCAGAGATTCAGACAGATGCGAGAAAGAGCCAGAGGGACAGGCAGGAAAAACCCACTGGCCACAGAGACAACGCAGAGCTGATAGGACTGGAGAAAGAGCGATACAGAGAGAAGACAGAAACTGCCCCAGAGAGATTATGCGGATGGAGAAGGAGAGAGGAGGGGTGGTAGAGACAGGTGATAGAGCCAAGGGGGCAAGCAGGCAGCCAGCAAATGCCTGAGGGCTGCCACCCCGCAGCCCGGCGCCAGGGGCCAGTGCCAGTGGGGCATCCGCACATCTAAGGCTCCGCCACCCACACCTCCCTCAGCTGCCAGGTGTGTAGGGCCAGGTATGGCCGCGCACAGCCCCCACATATACTGTTCTCGCCCAAAGCGCAGCGTCCAGCAGCCAAGGGCTGACTGTGGTCCCCACACCCTCCCCTTCTCAAGGGAGCTCCGACTCAACCCCCCCACTCGCCCCTTCCTCCTCTCCCACCCACGCCGCGCCTGGCCGCCCGGGCGCCCCGCGGGGCCCCGGCCGGGTCAAGGGTGAGGAGGGGCGCCCCTTGTGCCCCACTCACACTCACCCGCCCGCGCTGGATGCACGCGCCGGGGCTGCCACGCCGGGCTTGGAGCTGCTCGCCCCGCTCGCCCTCCGTGGCTCGCTCCCTCCCTTCGTCCCCCGCGCTCTCCGCCCACGGGCTGTCCCTTGCCCGGCCCTTCATTCACACTCACGCCCCTCGGCTACCGGCCACCGCCCTTCCCAGCTCCAGCTCCCAGGTAGCACCCCGGCCTCAACTTCCCTTTGACAAGACCGCATCCCCCAGAACCTGATCCTGGTCACTTGAGGCGCCCAGCCTCAAGTTTGAGGTGCAGGAATTCAGGGGGCAGAATTTGGGGAGGCCAGATACATAGAGGACGCCCTCCAATTGGAAGGGGGAGTGAAGAGGACTACACTCAAGTGTGAGGGCCAATATGTGCATGGGGGGGGCGTGTCACTGCACCAGTCCCCTCTTCACCCCTGATGCCATTCCCCAAAAGGAACAAAACAGCCTTGGGACAATCAGTCTCATTCAGCCTGGTGGATAGGCCTGACACCTGAGGCCAAGATGCCTAACCTCTGATCCACATAATTCCCCACCCTTCCACCATCCGGCACCTAACATCCACCATCATTTATCCAACGTCCAACGTCCATCCAACAACCACAATCCATCACCATTCAGCATCCACTTATCCAACCACCGTCATCTACCATGCGTCATCTATTCATGTCTCTTCTACCATCCAATCACCATTCAACCACCACCCAACATCGACCATCTACCATCCATTACCCTCCATCAATAAACCAACGTCTGTCCCATCCACAATCCACCACCTAACTTCCACCATCCAATTACCATCCATTCACTACCCACCATTCAACCACCATCCAACCACCATGCATCCATCCATTCCCCACCACACCCGCCATTTACCAAGCATCAGTACGCCATGAAAATACCCACCCTTCAGTCCAACCTTAATTCACCATCCATCCATCCACCACCTACATATCCATCACTCACTATGTAACAGCTTCCCATCAATATTTAACAACTATCTATCCACCATTCACCACATATCTGGCTGTGAATCATCAATCTACCATCTACTGTCTATTTATCTGAATTTATTCACCACCCAACCATTAGCCTCCAGCCAGCCAGCCACAACTCACCCGTTCACAATTCAGTCACCAGTCATGCCCCTCCCTAATCCATTCGTATTTCTATGAACCATAATCTACCATCCCCCACCCACTAGCCATCTACCGTTCACCCACCTCTTATCCCTATTCATACATATCTATCCATTCATTGCCCATCTCACAATACCCTCTATCGTCCATTCATCATCCATAATTCATTATTCATCCGAAACCCATTCAAGTGTCATCTACCACCCATCCATATTCATCCATTCTAGAAAAACTTACTGAGTGCCCTCTATGTACCAAGCATTACTTTAGGTGCCGGGGGTAGAGTAGAGAGACAGCAGTAAGCATTCATCCACCATAACTCCTCCACCATTACAATCCATTCACCATCCAGCCAGTCATTATCTGTGCATCATCCCCCATCCACTATTCACTATTCATTCAACATCCATATTCATTTATGATCCATTCACTCTCCATTTGCCATCTACCCATCTTCCTCTATCTATACATTAAACCTTGCATTTACAGTACACTGACCACCTACCATCCATCTACCATCTCTCCACCATCTTCCCATCCACCATTCACCTTTCATGCATCTATATTCCAAGATGTAGCCATTTATCATTTAGCCATCATCCATGCATCACCTAATCGTCATCTATCTATCCAGAATCCACCCATTCATTATCTGTCCACCATCCACCTTTCACCTACACGTCCACAGTACACAAACCCTTATCTATTGACCTAGCAACCATCCATTTATTTGCCATTCATGCACCTTCCAGCCACCATTGACTTGTTCACCATTGATGATCCATCCATCAATCATATATCCATTCACATTGATCTACCATCTTGCCATCCATTCTCCACAGCTAGATCCTTCACAAGCATCCACTTACTATTCACCCACCATCCATCCATACTCCCATGATTCATTCACCCAACAAGCATCCGCCACCCGCCACCTGTCACCTGCAATGCATCCACTATCTATGGATATTTCAGTATCCATCAATCCGCCAATTTAGTGTCCACATTCACCCACCCTCCATCTATCAACCTACAGTCTATTTATCTATTCATCACCACTTAACTACCATTATGTAGGTGCATCCACCATCTTCCTACCATATACCATCTAGCACCACCATCTACCATCCTTCCAGTACTTATCCAACCATTATCTATACACCATCCACCCAACCACACACACATTCTGCCATTGCATCCATCACTCATCCATTAATTCACCTCCCATGCAGTCATTCATTCCCCACCAACCACCTGCCCACTTAGTAACTTACCCATCCATCATTCTGAGATGAATTCATCTATTCCTATATTCTTATGTTATCCATACACATAAACAGAAGTAAATCATTCTCACTTCTCTTTTTCCACCACCCATCTCCATCATTCACCCATCCACCCATCTTCTCACCATTCTTCTGCCCATTTGTTCATAAACTAAGCATTTATTTATTAATAAATCTTAATATTAAACATAAATAGTAAACACTTATTACTCAGTGCTAGCGCTGGGTTCTGGGATCATCGAAATGAATAAGATCTCATCTGTATTCACAGTCTGATGAATTCACAGTCTGATGGTTCAAAAAAGGGAAACATCACAATAGCCAAGACATGGAAACAGGGTTTCCCTTTTAAGAATCCGCCTGCCAATGCAGGGGACATAGGTTCGTGCCCTGGTCCGGGAAGATCCCACATGCCGCGGAGCAACTAAGCCCGTGCGTCACAACTACTGAGCTTGTGCTCTACAACCCGCGAGCCACAACTACTGAAGCCGGCATGCCTAGAGCCCGTGCTCCGCAACAAGAGAAGCCACTGTAATGAGAAGCCCACACACCACAACGAAGAGTAGCCCCCGCTCACTGCAACTAGAGAAAGCCCTCGCGCAGCAACAAAGACCCAACGCAGCCAAAAATAATAAATAAATAAAAATTAAAAATACATTGAAAAAAAAAAAGACATGGAAAGAACCTAAATGTCCATTGACAGATGTATGGATAAAGAAGATGTGGTACATAGTACTCAGCCATTAAAAAGAATGGAATAGTACTCAGCCATTAAAAAGAATGAAATAATGCCCTTTGTAGCAACATGGATGGACCTAGAGATTATCATACTAAGTGAAGTAAGTCAGACAGAGAAAGACAAACACCATATGATATCACTTATATTTGGAAGCTAAAATACAATACAAATCAACATATCTACAAAACAAAAATAGACTCACAGGTATAGAGAACAGACTTGTGGCTGCCAAGGAGCTGGGGAGGGAGGAATGAGAGTTTGGGATTAGCAGAGGCAAACTAGTATGTATAGACGACAAGGTCCTACTGTAGAGCACAGGGAACTATTATATATTCAATATTCTGTGACAGACCATGGTGGAAAA